CCTACAAACCCCATAATCGGCCCGAATAACACTATGTTTTGTCCTTACAATAGTGGAGAAAACCTTCCCTGATTCATTTTTATACCTAAATTTCACATTTCATAACTCCTGCTAGAAGCAATTTGGGCACGAACTAACTTAGGGTATATCACTCCTAGCTATGCCCTATCTAACCATCATATCCCCGACTGAAAAGCTTTTTGACACCTCGGGTGGTTCCCTCGTCAGATCTAGTCGTCAGTGCAGTCATTTTCAGTTAGTTGAGAAGAAGAATCAGATGCCACCAAAAAGTAAAAGGATTCTGGACTTCGCAACGACAGATCTCAAATAGTGAAATAACTGATACAAAATTTGAGGATCACGAAAAATCCTAAAAGTAAATCATCTTCAGAAATATTGTATTTTGAGCCGAAACTTAGCTAAAGCTAAGGCTATTTTCACGATTCCTCATGTAGTTCAAGAACTGTTTAAGCAATTATCCACGTAATGGACATGAAAGGAAGCTGAGCTTTTGAGATCGGTGATTTAGCTCATGTTGGTATAGTAGTTTGTCATAGTCTTAGGGCTCCATTTGAGATTCGCTATAATTGTGCCTGAATAGTTCATTGATCAGTGGCAGAAACAAAGGATAACAATTTACTACATACGTAGATCTAAACGATTTGTTCTTTATTTTCATTTATTGGGCTTAGCAACCAAATCAATGTCACTACATGATACAGAAAACTCTGTGACGGAGTTAGATAAGAACGATATCGGAATTTTCATATTGTCCCCTAAGACCATCTAGTATGGTGTTAGTGTAATCCCTTCACCTATTGCTCCTTGTTCTCTACTTTGCTGTTCTTTGTCTTTTGGTTATTTTTTTGTTTTTTTATTCGCTTTCCTTCTTTTATCTTCCTTTCCTTTTTCTTTGCTCTTTCCTGTTTCTGCTTGTGCTTGTTCATTTTGAACCTTTGGATGCTGTAGCTTCCACTTCTCTGTTGGATTGAAATGGTTAGAGGGCTTTAAATGCAATACATATAAAAAAGAACACTTGAGTTTTCTCAGTAATTAAATTAATATACAATTATTCTTACTTACCAAAACTTCGATTGGATAGAAGTGAACAACGAAAAGCTTGTCGACAATCAATATCTTTAATGTGATCGAACGAAGTAAGCATGGTTAATGTTACTTCTCTATTTCGTCCGTTCGAACAATCATTCACAGTAGCTGGCATATCAATGTCTTCAAAAAATTGACCATTATCACATGGAAAAGATCGAGGATATCGATTAATACGCTCTTCACATGGAAATCTCATAGTTGAACCGCAAAAAGAATTTTTCAAAGATGAATATAAGAAGTAGCCGTCTTTCTCTTCGCTGCCATCGAGACAGTCAGTAGTAAAGCGGCTATCTCGTGCAAAGATCCTTGGAATACACTGACCACCATAATGACATCGATATTCATCATCAGCACATGTTGTCATCTCTAATGTTTCACACCATTGTTCGTCTTCACCATTCATACAATCAACTTTGCCGTTACATATTTGTCGCCAGTCGAGACATAAAGACCATGGTCCACGACGGCAATCATGTAAAAAGCGATAACATGTGGTAACACTTACGTTAAGCATAATGTCCAAACGACTTTTCACAGAAGCTTCAACAATTTCATTAAATGACAAAGATGAATTGTAAACAAATCGATATTGATATTTCGAGCCAAACCATAGCCATGAACAGTTATGGAATAATTCTGAACTTTGATTATTCATTTCATATCGCTCAACAAGATCGATGGGTGCTGACCAATTAAGCAGTTGTTCACTTGTTACACCTTGTTTACTCAATTCTTTAAACGTAATCTTGTTTGCTATATTTTCAGTCAATATGTCAGATATTTCTTCTTCATTTTCATCATAATCAGGTCGTCGACAATAGGGAGTCAACTGATTGTTCATAATGTAAGATGAATATTCATTTAATTCATCTTCAATAAGTTGAATGTATAGACAATCAAATATCAAATACGAACTGGGACGAATATTAGAGTAATATAGTGAGTATTGATTATACACTGCATTACACAGAGCAAGAAATATCATAATATGCATAATTAGCATTCTTTCACAATTTAAAATAAAAGTGATAATTTTTAACACTGCTGGATACATAGAATACAGGGTGGTAAATAATATTATTCCAGGGGGGTAACAGTATGATCTCGAATCGGAGATATCATGAATTTTATACCAAATGAAAGCCCGTGAAAAATGGGGTTTAGTGATAGTAAATAG